CATTAATGTGAGCAACAGATGTACAACCGTAATATACACATCCAGTGTCTACTTTAACACTAATTGTCATTTATATAGGAATGGTAAGGTTAGCATTTAGCATCAACACCAAGAATAAAAAACTGTGAACCAAATCAGGTGTCTACTAGGTCATCCACTGTATCCATAATTACAACACCATGAATGGGGTAGGAATTGCATAAACTATTTAGTCCTGTTATTTAGTGGGATTACTATTTTTTAAGTAAGAGAAAATGGGGTAGGAAGGTGAGAGTTTGAAATATTTTGGAAAATTATCAGAGGAGAGATAGGAGTTAAGTAGCAGATGTTGAATGTAAACAAATAATTAACTGAAAGTAATGAATAAAAGAGGAGAGGGAACAGGAAAATGTGGCTGTTAGTGGGGAAAGAGAATAAAAAATAGGAGATAGGTGGAACAGGAACCAAGGTATAAACAAACCCACAAATGTGAGATTAAAACTACTTGAACTCCCATATAATTATATGCAACCGAAGTCAAATCCAAACTATTAAGGTGAAGGTCAATTTATATAAATGTATATGTATTTTTCCAAGCCCGTTGGTGCATCTAGAGCACACACACACACACTTGAGTCAAGTATAATTTTTTTGTGTGTGGCTATTTCAATCAGGTTCAGGTGCACTTCACAAGTCATAAACTGTGACTGTTGGCTTTATGTGATCCTGATTTGTCTCTGCTGACTGCCATGTCTGTGGTCAATTTCCACATTAGGATCTGTTCCCACTGAATCCTGTGCCCCATACAGAGGAACCCAAAATCAAATCAAACCAAAAAATTCAGTTAGTTTAACTGAATCCCTCCCACTACCAACTCTGTGCTTATTCAAATCAGCTTCCTTCTCTAATTCAGAGGTTCCCCCAAGCCAAAATGATCATTTTTAAATTCTGTGCCTACATTCCCCTTTTCCTCAGTGGCCGCCAGCCAGGCTGTCATGTTTCTAATGTATTATTTCTTATGTTCGGTTCCAAGTTTGAGTATCTATGCTTCTACAGTTCCTTTTACAGATTTTACATTTTATGCCCAATGGAATGAGAGAGATTCTTTAGGGGTGATAAATCTGTAATACCTCCAAGCTGCTTAATTAATTAGGCTTTTTAATAATGTATTTGTCAGGGTTTGTAGTTGTTACCAAAAGACACAAGAACAACTTAGAGGAAATGTTTATTTTTGATCAGTTTCAGAGGTTCAGTTTGGTTGGCTGACTCCATTGCTCTGGCCCAAAGATGCGGTGAGCATCTTGGTAGAGGAAAAACTCAGGACACGACAGTAAGGAAATTGAGTTTATATGTTGTCCCTTGTAAGTTGTCCCTACTTACAAGGGACAACATATAAACCCCACAATATTCTTTAGTCACTTACTTCCTTCAGCCACACCCTACCTGCCTATAGTGACCAGCCATCAATCCATTCAAATTATTAACCCATAAAATGGGTTAATCTACTGATTAGGTTAGTTTTCATAATCTAATTATATCACCTCTAAACAATCCTATATTGTCTCACATGTGACTTTGGGGAGAGGATGTCATCCCATATCCAAACCATAACAATGTTAAAACAAATAACTGGTGAAAATAGAGAGCATGTTTGAGGCTTTGTATTAGAAAATTACACACAGAAAACCTATGAGTTAAAATATGGAGTAAATTTTCCTCTGTATGCTTCCACACCTATGATAGTGGAGGGTATAAAAACAGTATTTATTTCTATATGTATTTTATACTGATGTGATCTACCTCTCTTAATTATAGTCAATTATTTTATAAATTGCTTATTAATTTTAAACTACATTCTTGTGTATCGTCATCCCAAACATTGTGAGTGTTGAGGGCCACAGCCGAGTCGGGATGACGCATGGCATTTTTGCCAGAAGTAGTGGTTGAGAGGTGACGCCAGCAAGTACTCGAGGAGTTCCCATTGAGTTCCAGTTGAGCTCTCGCGGGGATTCCTGGAGAGTTCCGATTGGTTGGGGAGGTGCCGGAAGAGGGATATTCCTGGTTGCTGGTTCCTGGACGAGCCCCATGGCGTTCGGGAGAATTCCCGGGGAGCGTGTGTGGAGTGTGCTAGTGGAGTTCAGAAATAAATTTTGTTCTTGCTTCAGTGGCTGTGATTTGTGCCCAGCCAGACTGCGGCAGGTGAGAGTTGGGTAAGGAACTAATACATACGTAACAGACAAGGACAGTGAGGTTCAGAGACTTGATTGACCCAGAAGATGAAGCAGAGCTGGGACTAGCCCAAGGTATTTCCTAAGCTCTGCTTCTCTTCCACCACTTTATATCCTGTTCAAGTCTCAGGACATCAAAGAAACATATTCTGGGAAATCTGTTCTGAAAGTGTCATGCAGGAGGATTCATCAGAAAAAACTGAGGAGGCAACTGGAATACAGGCTGAAGATGCCTCCACACTAAAAACATGTGAGCTTGGAGGAGGCTGATATGAGCAATTACTTAAAGGAAAGAAAGAATTTGAGCAACAATTTGGGAAGAAGGAGGAAGTAAGGGATTTGAAGAAACCTTTAAAATTTTTCAAACAACCAGGTACAAATAAATAGCGCCACTGCAGAGCAAAAAGGATTCATTAGAGAAAGAAGCTAATGAATTCAGTTCTGACATCCATAATATATTTGAAAAAACAGCAAAATATAGGGTGAGGTGCTTGTAAAAATTGGATATACAGGTTTATAGTTCAGTTCGAATGTTGGAAATGGAGATTTAAATCTGAATTGATTTTAGAGGACTTCATATTCCAATTTATTTTTAAAAAGATAATTTGCAGCATAAAAATAAGTGGTAAATAATAAAGGGTATTTTACTGATGAAAATCATTGAGATTTTCAAAATCTCTCAAAATATTTCACAATTTAAAATTCTATAATCATTGTCATTTCTTAATTTCATCCTAAAGTCATTAACAGTATAGTCTCAATGCTTCTATCCTCAGTGATAAATTAATCTTCTGAGGTTTAAGCAACCAATTTGCCTATTTTTTTCCCAAGAGGATATGTTCTTCTCCAGCTGTCTTCCAGCTATACATAGGCTAAATCTCTTTTGAAATGCATTACGGGAGATTTTCAGAGATAGTTGACAGATAATCCTCAACTGGATTTTAATTAAGGCACTATGCAAAACACTACCTGGTGTGTATATAAAAGCATGAACACATGTGAAAGAGAAGTTAAAGGCTGAAAAAGAAAAAAGGTTGTTAGGATTCTGAGAGCTTTAGAAGTTAAAACTTCATATGTGAAATAAGAAAAGGCCCTGAAAAATAATTAAAAAATAAAATTATTATTGAAAAGGTGTGTTGTTAAAGCAAATGCAGAATAACACAGTAAGAATCATTTTGCATTCAAAACAAAATATGTTAAGGGCAGAGAAGTAGGAAAAGGTAATTATTAACTCACAATAAAATATTCTGGAAGCATTGTGATATGCTTTTATATACAGGATAGAAGTGGAAAAGCATGAACAGGTACAAAAGTGAGAGAGAACCAGAATAATAAAAAATGGACAAATCTGAAAATGGAAGAAGTGAAGCAGTTCTCTTCAATTACAGAGGCTACAGTGTTTAATTGAGAGGAAAAGCCTAAGAGAATGCTCTTTTTCTGCAAATTTATTGCCCCTTTTTTCTTCTAAATCAGCATGTTCACAAAAAGGATGGGAAGAAGTTCCTTGTGACCAGGATGGTAATTCAGCATACTTAACCAGGGCATTTTTGTCTAGGACAAATGCTAAATGAGACCCAGGGGTCACTGATACAATCAGGAGTATCCCAGGCCAGCCATAATGGAGGTATGGCAGACTGACTGCAAAAGTGGTCACAATCTCTCACCCAGCTCTGTATCCTTATCTTTCAAGGAACTTCACATTTCCTCAATTCGAGAGGTAAACTCCATTCCCACTTCTTAATTCTGGACTATAATTAATTTGGTCAAAAGAACACAACAGGAGTGTAATTCAGAGCCCGTTCTGAGACGAGGTCCCTAGATACTTTGAGCACCTCTGTCATGGACAAGTACCACCCACAATGGAGCAAGGCCTGTCTAGAAGATCAAGTACCATGAGGAGAGCTCAGTCCCAACAAACCTCGGTTCCAATATCCAGTTAACTCCCAGAAACTGAACTCTCAGTTCACCTGCAGCTAACAGGGGAACCCAGTGAAGATCAAAATGGCCCAGCTACATTCACTCCAGTTTTCTCTAAAATCATAAGCAAAATAAATAGTTATTGTTTCTAGCCACCCAATTTTGGTTTCTTGCACAGCAATAGTTAACAAACACTACTTACACAAGTGTGCTAACCACCTCATAAATATGGGAATAACATTTCTACTGGAATGACCCAGCTCATTTGCACTGGGCAGAGTTAGGAAACTTTAGGATGTTCCATCCAAAATTAGTAATTGCCTATATTCATATTCTCCCTAGGAAATGAAAATCTTCTGATCTCAAATCCAATACTAACATAATCTCACACTTAGTCACCATTTTATGGTTTATATACTTGCACACACCATTTTCTTTAAATAAAACAAACTATGGAGCTCTAGCAGATAAGGTAGCATTATACTCATTTTACAAAGCAAACAAATCAAGTGGAAGGGCAAGTTAAATAACATTGACAATAGCAAATGGCAAAGCTACAGTATGATTTCACCTATATATTCACTATTTCTCCTAGGAGATCTTATGCTAAAATTTTGGGTCAGTATTGGCATATAATTTTTTAGGTATTTAGTTAATTGAATCTAGGAAGTTTACTTCTTTTCTTATAAAAATGAAGATAATATGACTTAGCTTAAGGGTTGTTTTGAGGGGCAAAGAGATAATTATGTGACACATAGCTCCAAGCCTAGCATGAATGTTAGGCTCTTGCCCCCATTCACCACGATAGGGATCTCTCCCAAGCTTGTTAACCACTACCCATGAGCACTGAGCATCACTTGAAATGATAAGCTTTCAGACAAATAGAATAGGCAAATTTATTTCTACGGTAGAAGCATTTATTATAGTTATAGAAAAATAACACTATTTCAAATCAGGGTAAGTAAGCAGAAGTATATTTTTCTCTTGCATACCCATACTCAATGTCAACATGATTTCAAGCTGTTCTTAATAAGAAACAAACACAGAATCAAGGTAGTATGCCAATAGAAGAGTATGTATTAAAGCTACATATCAGCCCTGGAAATCAGAAAACACAAAGTGAACTTGTGCAGCCATTTTCAACTTCAGTGTGTATCAGCCTCATCCTGACTGTGGAAAAAGCACCTTCAGGAAACTGAAGGCAAATTACCAGGTTAAGTAAGCTCTTGGCCTCAGAGCAGCAAAGAGACTGAGGGTACAAACTTTGCTTCTCGCAGAGGGGCAAAGACAAAACATACTACAATGGAAAGAAACAAAAAACAGTCATTTACTCACTGTGACTTCTATGAGCCTCAGATTCAGGAATAACAGCACTATACTCACGAACGTTGTACAGGTTAGGTCAAATTTTGTGTTAGTGCTTTCCCCACCAATAACACTCAGCTATTATCATTATTTCATTATTTTAACATCATCATCATTATTTGATACACATGAAATTCTTCCCACTTCCTACTCCCAGTCTTTATTTTAAGTCAAGCAACCATGTTCTGGGTCCAAGCTCACAGATTGTTTGGTACCACTTTTACACTGGTAACATTATTACTAGCTTCTATCATTCTCTTACATAACATTTCAGTACATGATTAAAATGACAATTTTTATATTCAAACTGAGACAACAGATTCAAAGAGGAAAGGGAACCAAAGTTTTCAAGTTGTATGTTGCTTCTAAAGCATCAATAGACGAATGAACTTTGTTTCAAAGTGGCCAATTTTAGACAATCTCTGAGTTCCCTGTCGTTTTCTGAATATCAGACTATTATAGATGAAAACATGGAGATAAAATACCTATAATCTTCATCACTTCCTATATTCAATATACTACAGTCATGTTTCATAGTTCAAAGTTTTTGGCAATTTAAGTATCTACCTACATAATTTGAGGTTTTTAATATTCTAAAACATTACTAAGGGGCTTAGTTGGGCTAGGATATGGTTTTTTAAACCTGGCATGAATGACATTTTGGGTTTACAAATTCTTAACTGTGCATCTTATGCATTATAGATGTTCAGCAGGATCCCTGGGCTTTACATATTAGCCGGTGTAGCAACTTGCCATCCGATACCGGTTTTGACAAAAATGTCTCCAGACATTGTCAAATGTCTTTTGGGGGCCAAAATCAGCCCTAGTTTAGAACCACTGGGTTAGAATTTAACAGACATAATTGTAAACTCTGAGTGCACAGATAATACAAGACTCTACATAATATTACTAATGTGAAGAGTCTAGCACAATAATTTCTGCTTTTGTGTTTATACTAGGGCACAGAGATTTTTATATAATATACTATTCAAGCATATAATCACCCACACATATCTATCTTTTTCCTACTGAAAACACTGGCATTAGGTAATTAAAAAAAAAAAGCTAATCCAGAAATCACCTTTATATTACCTGCTATGAGAAAAACCTAATCTATTAACAGTCACTAAATGGCCACCTAAAGAAATCACTGCAAGTGTCCTTCCTTCTGAATTCTAAGTCTCTCTTTCTCTACTTGTAGGCGTTCCTTTTCAATCTGTAGCTTCTCAGATTCAAACTTCAAAAACTGCAGCCTATCTTTTTCCAGTTGCAAGCGTTCTCGCTCAAGTTTTAACTTCTCTGTTTCTATGTCCTGTGGCTGAAGCATGGACTTTTCTCCTTGGCCAAGTTCATTTTCCAGAGATGGTTTCTCAGAATTGACTATCTGTAACCTCAATTTCTCTCTCTCAATCTGCAGCCGTTCCTTCTCTAGCTGCAGCCGCTCATGCTCCATGTCTAAATGGCGCAACCTCTCCTTCTCTATCTGTAGGCGTTCCTTTTCCACCTGCAGCCTTTCCGCCTCAATATCTAGTCGCCGCTTTTCCAACTCTAGTTTCTGTTTCTCTATGTTTACAAGCAAGTGGGGCTCATCATATGCAGACCTGGATGGTGTTGAGTTAAGGGTGAAAAACTCATCAATGTGGGGGAAGTCAGGAAGTTCATTTTCCCTCCTGGAATCTGGTATGACAGATGACAGCATTTCCTCCTCCTCCTCAATCTCAAACTGAGAAAAAAGAGAATGATTTTCAATGTTATTTCTACTTCACAGTTGCCAATTTGTTCAAATTGCTCTTAAAAGAACTTCTGTATTGTTTAAACACATAAAACCATTTAATTTGAATTGTGAAAACCCTTTACATTGAATTGCCAGATATCACTGAAACAATCAAGAATTATATATTTACACACACACACACACACACACACACACACACACAGTGGCATAAAATGTCACAGGCTAATACTTACTTCAGGACTTTGGGGGTCCCTTTCTTCTTCTTCCACTTTGACCTCAGTTAAGGATCCACCTGCATCCCTGAAATCTGCCACATTTTGCCAATCAAAATTTGGATCATTTCGGAATCCAATCTTTTCATCTATCTCTTCAGTAAGAGAGTCATCTAAATCAGATGTGGGAAGTGGAAACCCCGATCCAACCAGCTTAATATTCGCTTTCATCCTCTTTCTCTTCATAAGTGCTCGCCAGTCAAGGTATCTTCTTTTCACTTCTGTCCCTGTCCTCTGTTCTCCTTCTCCTACAGCATTCACACACTGTGCTATCTCCTCCCAAGCCATTCGCTTCATCACGTTTATTGTTGTATTGAGCTGCTTGGAAAAGATGACTTCTTTCCTTTTGGTAATTTCTTTCAAAAGGGTCTGAGTTTCTTGAACACTAAAATTGCTTTTCCTTTTTCTTTTTAACTGCTTCATTTTTTTTCTAATTAAATGGAGTCTTTACAGAAGATGTGAAAAGAACTTGAAGAGTGCTGCAAAGCACATGAATCAAGGACAAACCCTTGTTGGCAACTTAGTTTAAATCACTCAATTTTCTACTCATCTAGTATGTCTACTAGGCAGGCTGGATAATAATTCCTAAAGGGAAAAAGAAAAGTAAAATCAATCGATCAAACTTCAACTTCTGTTAACCCCAATAAGCCACATTAATTTAAAAAGAAACAAAAACCTACAGCACTCTATGGCTTAAAATTGCCTACTTCTCTATCTTTGCCAATACTACCATGATCCCAGCTGCCATCTTCTCACCTGGAATGCTGCAATGGTTGCTCACCAGCTGCACTTTTGACCCACTTCCCACTGTTCTAGCTCCTTCTCTCTTTAAATCAACCTGTATCTCCAACTACACAGGACTTCTCTCAGTCATCTATTCCTTTCAAGTTTTTTCCCTGCTTCAAAGCCTTTGTCAACACACTGTTCCCTCTGCCTAGAAAATGGACTGCTTCCTTCTTGGCCTACTCAATTCCTCATTCTTCAGCCCCAAAATTAAACGTGTTTTCATTGAAGCTTTTCTTGGTAAGTCAAACAGCATAAAGTCTATTCTACTTTTGTTTAACTTTTGTACTTTTGCTAAAATATGGCTCAGAGACTCTCTTTCCCACTTCATAAGTTTGAGGACAAGGATATTTCTGCTCACCATCACTTTCTCAGGCCTTAGTTTCTGGCATGTGGCAAGCACAACACAAATATACACTGAATTAATAAGGTGATCTGTTAAAAGGGCCATTTGGAATACTGAAAATAGGAAAACTGAAAGTCTAAGCTGTAAAAAGAATAAAACTCAGAAACTGGTTTGAGACAATGTCTGTTCAAAAAAATAAGAATTATCCACATCTTACCACTTCAAAAATTAAAACTCACTTTTAGAATCTGTAAACTGAGAATAAAATTTCCTTAATAAAAACATAAGGATACAACAAATTAAAGGGGTAATGTAAAAATGGTAAAGATTTTTCCTCAGCCATCCCACCTATTAATCAGAAAAGAACATTGTTGATTAAAAGAAAAAACAAAAATTTAAATTTCTAAATCTTTGGGGATCTAGGGTATAATTCTTAGTTTACCACTCTAATTCTGTCCCTCAATGCATACTATGACCTCCCCATTCCCTCAACCCACCCCCAACATCTAACATGAAATAAAACCCGGTTGAATGGTATATTTATTTCTAATTAATGCTTTTAATTATTTGATTTTCTTCAGAGAATTTCTCAGCAATACTTTATAACATTCTGGCCACTTTTTATTGTAGAGTTTAAACATTGTGATTTAGCAAGTAACTAGGTATACTTTCAGTCTCTGTGAAATAATTTTTAAAATAGTCATGTGGCAAAATTTCAATATAAATTCTGAAGGAAAAAGAATCCTCATTCAAGCACTTAAGATCTAAAACAGAATGTTTCTCCAATTTCCAGATGATGTTTATGCTATAGTATCATCCAAGAGAGTATCTGAAACTTCTGAAAAAGGTCAACTTTTCTAGCCCCACATTAGACTAACTGAATGTGGAACGCTAGGGGTAGGACCCAGCAAATGTGTTTCAATAAGCCCTCTAGAAGACTGCAATACATGCTGAAGTTTGAGAATCTCTGAACAAGACCTATACATCAATTAGTAAAATGGATGTTTCACACATCTGGCTCTCTTGCCTACCTTGATTCCAAGTCTGATATAAGAGTAATTGGTTGGTGGAATGAATATAAAGTATATCAAAATCCTCATTGTAATGGACCTAGGAAATGTTTTTCTGCTATCCAGACTTTGCATTGTGGGAAGGTACATTAAGAAGGTTGGGACAGATATTCAGACTTGAGTCAGGAATTCACTTTTTTTTCCTAGAGGCAGAAAATGAAACCATCTACTAAAAAGGTTCAAGTGCCTTGTATAATGTATCACATACTGCTTTATAAATACTGGTTTAACTGAAAAAAAAAAGAGAGGAATAAAGGTTAGAAAATCTCTTATTTGATTTTTAAAAGTACGTAAAAGAAAACAATGACTGAAAGAACAAGCAATACTTATAAAATTATATTTCTGACTTCAAATTCACTCAATGAATACTGCCATAGAATACAGCCTACATAATGAGAGGATAGAATGAGATTGCTAAAGACCTTTCCAACTCTCTCACTGCCTGACTATAAACTTTTCCTGACATTATGAAGAAAAAATACCAAATACTCATAAAGTTCCAAATCCTGTCATTTAGTCTCCACCACAGCACTGTATTAAAGATACCAGTTATTTCTATTTTTAAAACAAAATTGAAAGATTAATTTGCACACAGCTACTTAAATGACAGGATTTATATCCGAGTTCTCTGTGTCACATCTACTTCAACTTAATTATCAGCTTGTGACAGCTAAATCAGAAATGTGTTGCTGATGAATTTTGAGATACCACTTAGCAGATTTTCAAAAGGAACAGATTCCTATCTATGTGGAATGTCCATATAAATTCCATATATAAGCAGAAAAACTCCAAACTTCAACCAGTTATGTTTTCCCTGTCATGTATTAAAGTAAATAAAAATGGAGAGAAGGCCTGAAGAATCCCTGAACAAAGTAATCAGTTAGATCTCCTAAGTGACCTTCCTTTGATTTGCAAATATAAATGAAATACTTGGGCTACTTCTTGTAAATGCCACATTAAAAAAAAAAAAAAAAACAACTAAGGCCAACCAATCAGAAGCAGCCAACTTACAGTTATAGAATGATGGAGGCAACCATATAAATGTAATGAATCAAATATTTTCATTGCTTTACTTCCATGTTCATTCTATAAAAGCCTTCTCCTGGCACTTCCTCTGCAGAATCACTGAAACACTCCTAGTTTGGAGCTGCCCAATTTATAAATCACTGTTTCCTCAAATAAACTTTTAAAAATTTTATTATATCTCAGTTTACCTTTTTACCTGGTTTTTCTCAAACACTTTCATGACTACCAGTTTTAAATTTTTACTGATGTGAAAAATATTTCTCTACTAATTCATGATGGAAATAGTACCTTCTACTAAAGCAAAAATAAACAAATAAGGTTAAATTTTTAAAATACACAAAAATCTTTTCTTTTACTGTTTGAATACTCTTTTACAGTCAAAAGTGGTTGCTAACTCCTCATTCTTAAACTTTACCAAGACAGCATTTATTTCCATTTCATCAAACTTTTATTCATATTTTATCTTTTCTAGTTTCCGGTAATCTTTGATCCACAGGCTTTGTGTGTATCTAGAAAAATCACCAAATATATGCCAAACACCCTATCTTTTTGTTTCTACTCACTCATGTGAAATAACCATTTTCTGAATGGCCACTTGCTGTTGAAATAGGTCAGAGAGAATGAAAAATTCTAAACAGCAGAAAATGTACTCTCAAAAAAATCAACTGTCAATTCCACAAACACATACAAAAAAGAGCAAAGTATATAAAAACAAAAACAGGACTACAAGCAAACTATGTCTGAAATAGAATTTCTCAAAGACATTTACTGATAAATTGAAATCCATTAAATTGGAATATAATCAGTGACAGCATGCTTAATATTATTCTACATATATGCTAGCCTTTCAGTCAAATCTAAGCCTTTTGTCAAAAGAATATAAGAAAATATACTAATAAATTAAAACATCATTAACAAAGACAGTATATATAGTTGTTATAAACACAAATTCTGGAGTCAGAATCCAGGGATTAGATTTAGATCTACCACTTCATAGGTGGGGGGCCTTTAAGCTCTTTGTATGCAATTTTATTTGGAAAATAATGATGATAATGTTGTTTCAGAGACAATACAAGCAAAAAAAAAGATTTAGTAAAATATGGAGAACAGTTACTGTCATATATTAAGCACTATTAAAAGCTTTTAAATTTTATTTCATCAAAGACAAAATGAAACAGAGGTCACAATATTGGTATTGTTCCAAGTAAGCTGAATGGGAAGTCTATGGTTCTTTATTACTATGCTTTATAAGATATATATGTGATATTATGGAGCCTACTCATGAAAGCTCACAAATGCTAAATGTGTACATCTCAACTCTATTTTCACAGATATCATGCTGAGAGCTAAAAATCAGCCAAAACATCAGTTTTAGAACACTATTTGCACATATCAAATAATATTCACTAATAAGATGAAAGAAATGGAAATGCTATGTTTTAACATTAGATCCCAAGCAAATTTAGTGAACATTTTAGAAAATAGTTTTAGAGAATCATATTTAACTAGCACTCAGGCCTAACAAGCCTAACATTCCTTTTTCAATTTCAGCTATCCAATAGGATGGGTAAGTATTCAGCTTTCCTCTAGAGGAGACTGAATATGCTCATGAGGTACCATGTTTATAGTGCACAATAAAAGAAATGAAAGCAAACTGACATACATCACTAACCCAGCCTCAGTTTGCTGCTTCTTGGTACACTAAGTTGAAAGATAACTCAAAGGAATTACTGAAGTCAAACTTGGCTTTTTCCTTTTTTCATCATTTGTCCCACCACTGAGGACCTGGAAGAGGGTAGTCTACCTGCTCCAAAGACAATAACTTCAATACCTGGTAGTATGCCTAACAATTAGGAGGATGTAAAAAATACAAAATTAAAAGAATGTGCTCAGCAGATGGGAAAAGAAAAAGAAACAGAAAATAAATGAAGGAAGGTAAGAAAGAAAAACTGAAATTTCCATGGGTACAAAAAGCTTAATATTAAGGGAAGAAGGCAATCTAAGTCAATATAGGCAAGAATCAGTTAGTGAAGAGATTAGGTACTAAACTACTCACCTCATAACCATGCCAAAGAATTTAACAGTTAATAGGCTAAAAAATTCTGAATTTTTTTTTTTTTCAGCAAACAGACTACCTTGCTTCTTAGGGGTATCTACTGAGTATAAGCAGGTTATAAAAGACATTTTGAAAAACAGGATCAGAGGTTAGATATCCTAAAAATAGAACAGAGAGCTAAAGTGACATCCAATTCCATATTAAATTATCTAAAATGTGGTAAGAAGAATGAATTTTTGTTTCTAAAAGATACAGACTATTTCAGAGCATTTAAATAGTTTCTTGAACTATTACATTTTTAAGGTAAAAGCATGGTAAAAGTACAAACATTCATCAATAGGGTACTGCATGAATAAACCAAATACTATGTTGCATGATGAAATATATGCACCATGTCATATTATTATAGACACAGCGTTAGCATATCATCATCCCTGTATGGATACTATAGTTAATACAAGTCAACAAAAATGGGAAAGGAAATGTATATATACATGTTCATTTGTGCACATATTCACAGAGGCAAAACATGCTGTGCTAGACACAGAACATGCTGTGCTAGACAGCAAGCTCACCAACTCTGTTCATCACCATTACTGGCTCTAAGGATCATGTGTATAAGTCATCACTGCTTTCACCATGTGACTGTTTGTTAGCCCATGGCATATTTTACTATGAGGAGATTAAAATTATGTTAAAAATCTACTTATGACGGATTTTTATTATAGAAAATTAGATATTTTAAGTCTCACAAACATATATCTTACAAATTTATTGATATAAAAAGTAAAAATATGCATATATGTTTAAAAAAAATCTAAGTAATGGTACAAAATAAAGTTAAAGTCTCCCTACCAGCAATGTAACTAATAATTTCTTAAGATTCTTTCCAGAAAAATCATATATGTTTATAATAGCATGTGATACTGTTGGTCCCAGGACTACAATTTAAATAACTAAGTTAAGAGCTAAGTTTGCTTACCTTGCTCCTCCTCTTTATAGTAACCAATAAAATATGTGAACCATGCATATAATTTAAAATTTCCTAGTATCTACAGTAAAAATAAAACAAAGAGGTACAATTGATTTTAACAAATTTTATTTAACACCATATATTCAATATATTATCATTGTATTACGTAATCAATACAAAATTACTGAGTACTATTTCCATTTCCATTCTTGTTTTCTCACTGTTTTTAAAATCCAGTATGAATTTTATAGTTACAGGTACATCTTACTTTGTACTAGCCACATCCATTTACCTAGTAGCAAATGGGCACATGCCCATGCACACACGCACACATGCGCACACACACACACACACACACACACAATCAATCAATCAATCACCTAAGGAGTTTTTCAAAGTATCTATGACCAATCCCCATCTCTGACCATATAAAACAATTTTTTTGCAATAGAGGCAGGCATTAAGAATTTAAAGTGATCTCTAGGTAATATTCATTGGCAGACAAAACTGAGAACAATCCTGCTTAGACAATCAGTGTTAAAAACCTACTTGTTCAAATATATACAGAAAAGCAAGGAGTACAAATGCTATTATTGCTAAGAAATTTCTTTTCAGAGATCATTGAGGAAAAATTCACCTACCACAAAAGACTTACAAGGTAGAAAAAGTCAGTTTATTTGAGGGGTGGGGGGAATGCCTGACATAATGTTATGTCAGAAGCCAGAAGAATGTCTCTGAATCATAAGAACCAACTCACACCTCTATTTATTGGAAACACATCAACCAATACAGGTAAGTCAATTTAGACTTAAGAAACAGACTACTCTTCTGAGAATAAAGCATTCTTATAAGCAGAATGTCTTTAGACACCCATATCTTTATTAGAAAATATTATGACTAACTTAAGAATATAAATCTGAAATATCCATTATCAGACTGAATAATTAAGAAATACTGCTTTATTTATCAAATATGTAGAATCCCTAAAAGCCTTTCAAAGAGATAAGTTTGCACTTAAGAGATAAGTTTGCTTACCTTGCTCCTCCTCTCTTCCTGTTATAAACTCATTATGGAGTCTTTCCAACATACCATCATATTTACCTTTTCCAATTTTAACCATCACCCTAATACCAACCCCAACCCACTTTCTCCAACAAACGTGTAGGCACAGGGCACATGAAATCAGTGGCAGTTATAACATTCCTCTAAATTCTAGAACTGTGTTGTCCAACAGAAATTATAAGAGCTAAATATAAATTTAAATCCTCTAGTAACCACATTAAAAAAGTAAAGAGAAACATGTAAAAATGAATTATATTTTATTTAACACAATATATCCTAAATGTTATCCTTTCAACATATAATCAATTTAAGAAATTACTGAGGTATTTTACATACTTTTCAAATGCCAGTCAGTATTTTAAACTTCACATTTTAAATCTAGCCATATTTCAAGTACTCAACAGCAACGTGTGGATACTGACTACTACACTGGACACCACAGCTATGTCATGATCCCTATTTATTTGAGGACTATCACAGTTGTGTTCTCTAGCCCATCTCCCCAACTCCCATGGTGTCTGCCCTTTTGTCTAGCAAATGTCTACTCATCCTTTAGAACTCAATTTAAAGTCTCCTGTTCTAGGGCACTTTTCTGTTCTCATTCACATAAGTCCAATGTTCTTGCCACATACTTCTACTATCAGACTATACTACAGTCACTTATTTTACATTAAAAGCAACAGAAAATCAAAGCTAAATATATTACTCCTGTTGTCAAATAATTTACAATCTAGTGAAATTAGTAAAATATAGATGCATAATGAAATGCACATAAAAAATTATAATGAATCTGCAAAGTGAAGGTCATGAATACAGACTACATAGGCTTATATGCCAATTCCACCACTTAATAGCTCTGTGACAAGCAAAGTAACCTTTTGTACTTGTTTCCTCATCTATAAATGAAAATAATAATAAGACTCATGATGTTTTAAGATTTAAAAGAGAAAATGCAATTAAGAAGTTCAAAGATATAGTAAGCCCACAAGAAATATGTACTATCATTACCTCTTAGTACAGTAACTGGACATAGTAAGCAACTATTTCTTTACTGAAGATTAATGTTAATATCTGAAGAGTACAATAAAGAAGTACTAACAAAATACCCTGAATATCCAGAAGGAGAAATCTTCGATGGGATCAAAAAGGGTTTTGAGAAGGAATTAAAGCTAAGAAACTAGGTCGGGGCCAAATATCAGCTAATCTTTAATGTTGGTTTAATAACACCCTGAACTTTAATCAGAAAATGTACTGAACAAGACAAATATAACTATGAAAGTTCACATTTTTTTGAAATTCAGGGTTACCTTTTATATGGAGGCACTGTTACTATAATACTATACAAACTATAAGAACAAATATATGATAAACAATGACTGAAATTGTCAAGAGAATCCTAATTTATGCAGATAACCACCATCAGGTTTTATTGCTCTTAGAATCTGAGATCATTTCATCAATTTGGTGTAAATTTATTCGAACAGCAGAAATAGCAGTGCTTTTACCACCAAGTCAATATATTTTTTGACAACAGTCATTGTCAAAATTTGACAACAGTTGTTGCCATTTTCATATTTTCCCCAAGAATTTCTATCTCCATACTTCTAGCTTCTAATGTGGTGCCCCTTCAAGGACAGCTGCACTAAGTACTTCTTTCAAATGTTGTAGTCCCGCTAACGCTGCAAAGCCATGAGTGATCTATGCTGAGCTAATGAACTATTTCATCAAAACCAATATTGGAACACATCTTGACTTCCTGACAGTCTTGGCTTATTGTGTGAAAAAAACCTTTGCATGAAAGCTTGACATTTTCGAAGTTAAAAAAAAAAAAAAGGTGCCAGCCTCAGTGCATATTGTGTTGTTAAAATTTGCTAACACACATAAAGGCTATGTTTTCAGGAATGCATATCTTTCTGTCTTCTTTATATTTTGGAAGCTTGGGTTTTCTGCCATCAAAAAATGTATATATTTATTAAGTTCCTACTATGTGTTAGACACCGAATATAACATCCCATAAAATGCCATCCCATTTTTAATTGATTGCCATCCCCATCTTCAGAGGAGGGAACTCAATAGTTGCAATCTTTAAAACTTATAGACCTGTAATGTACAATCACAGAGAACAGTCATTTTCCTGAAATCTCATCTCACAATCATTCTTTACTGTCAGGAAATAGGAATAATATGCAGTTCACTTACGTAATCCTCATGCAGATGACGCACCACCAAAACAATATTATAACAGGCAATTTTTAACAAGGACTAACAATTGAGAATGAAGTTCCGTTACTATATTGCATGATAAGACATAATTAAGAGGTCTGAGAAAAATCAGGCAGTAAAATCTGCGTTAAAAAAAAATGAAAGGGTAAATTCATTAAGCAATTGGAGAAGAAAAGTATCATACACCTACAAAACTTCCCTCAATGTCCACCCCAATCCTCTTTAAAGTATGATTCCTGCCCCCCAATGTTCTTATAGGAAATTAACCTCCCTGCCGAATAGTACGTTCTTCTTTAAAACTTGTAGGTAAACGAGTTTAGAAAAGAGTCGCCAGTCACCAAAGTATCATTCACCTGCTCCAAGTGGCCGCCTCCTGCGGGACTGCTCAGTAAACACCCCCTACGAAGAAACCAGGAGGACAGGATTCCCGCGAGGCCACCCAGGAACAGGGGGCGCGCACCTGACTCAGCCACAAGATGCGGCTGCACCTGGTGAGAACCGGGGCAACTTGGAAAAGGATTCCTTTCTCCGAATATTTAATGGGAGTCCCGATTTGGGTGTTCAGAAACTTCCGCAGCCTTGTTTCAGGGGATTGGGCCCTTCTAACCCTCTCCCATCAGGGACAGCGCGCTAGGTACTTCTTTCAAATGCTGTAGTCCCGCTAACGCTGCAAAGCCAGGGTCAGAGGCTGGTAGCGGCGAGACGCAACCTGCCGCTGACCCCGCCGGGACCCTCCCCCCTTGCGAGGACACCCACGGTCCGTGGAGCCTGTCACCCTCGCTGTCTCCTCCCGCACCGTACTTCTCACCTGCGACCCTGGCAGCACCTCCACAAGATCGCCTCTAAGGGTGGTAAAAAGGGACGCTTCATTAATTCCCCGCCCACCAACTTCTCACTCCCTCCATTGGCTGGAGTACATGCCGCTCATTAGATGTGGCTCATCCATTGGTTCGAAGGGCACTACCATTCTGGGCGAGAGCCCGCCTCAGGCCAAGCCTCACAATGGGAATCGAATCCCAAACCGGTTCCGGGTTAGTGCCCTGGCATCCGCCCCTTTGTGAGTCGCCTCCCGTTCTGCGCTCAGTCTTTGGTGCTTGTCTCTGTCAGTCAAGTGGCCTCTAGGAAAGGATTGGTCCCTAGCGATCAGCTTGCCGCGCTGTTCCACCTGATAGGAGAATTGGCCGCTCCATCTCCAAACCCTACTCCCGTCCTTCACCCTCGACCGACTGTTAAAAGGGAAGAGAAGAATTGACATTCTTGAATCTAACGGGCTTCCCAGGCCAGCATCATGTACTGAAACAATTGCGACTTCCTTTGGTGTCAACCATTCCCCTGAAACTGACTTTGCCAAAGGTCACCGGTGACTTCCTTTTGGCAAAATCCATTAGTCACTTCTTTACTTGACTACTCAAAAATAAATAAATAAATAAATACATAAGTAAAACTGACTTGTCGACTCTTTTTTCAGTGTTTTCCCTAATACGT